ATGGGTAGCTTTATCATTTCATAAGAAAAAAATTAGAGAAAATATATTAATTCAGGAAAACTTGGCTTATTAGGCAAATCGGGCCTTGCATAGTAGGCTGAGAAGTGCGTTCTGGCTACTAGGTACGACATATATATATATATATATATATATATATATATATATATATATATATATATATATATATATATATATATATATATATATATGCGAACAAGCCTGAATGGTCCCCAGGACAATATGCATGCGAACAAGCCTGAATGGTCCCTATTTGAACCAGGACAATATGCAACTGAAAACACAAATCACACCCCCCAGAAGTGACTCGAACCCATACTCCCAGATGCCACGCAACTGGTATGTACAAGACGCCTTAATCCACTTGACCATCACGACCGGACAAAATGAGGTGATAGCCGAGGCTATTTGAACCACCCCACCGCCGGCACTCGGATAGTAATCTTGGGCATAGCATTTTACCAAATCACCTCATTCTTTGGGGCACACGTGAGGAACACAAATGCGAACAAGCCTGAATGGTCCCCAGGACAATATGCAACTGAAAACTCACACCCCAGAAGTGACTCGAACCCATACTCCCAGATGCCACGCAACTGGTATGTACAAGACGCCTTAATCCACTTGACCATCACGACCGGACAAAATGAGGTGATAGCCGAGGCTATTTGAACCACCCCACCGCCGGCACTCGGATAGTAATCTTGGGCATAGCATTTTACCAAATCACCTCATTCTTTGGGGCACACGTGAGGAACACAAATGCGAACAAGCCTGAATGGTCCCCAGGACAATATGCAACTGAAAACTCACACCCCAGAAGTGACTCGAACCCATACTCCCAGATGCCACGCAACTGGTATGTACAAGACGCCTTAATCCACTTGACCATCACGACCGGACAAAATGAGGTGATAGCCGAGGCTATTTGAACCACCCCACCGCCGGCACTCGGATAGTAATCTTGGGCATAGCATTTTACCAAATCACCGCATTCTTTGGGGCACACGTGAGGAACACAACTGCGAACAAGCCTGAATGGTCCCCAGGACCTGGGGTCCATTCAGGCTTGTTCGCATTTGTGTTCCTCACGTGTGCCCCAAAGAATGAGGTGATTTGGTAAAATGCTATGCCCAAGATTACTATTCGAGTGCCGGCGGTGGGGTGGTTCAAATAGCCTCGGCTATCACCTCATTTTGTCCGGTCGTGATGGTCAAGTGGATTAAGGCGTCTTGTACATACCAGTTGCGTGGCATCTGGGAGTATGGGTTCGAGTCACTTCTGGGGTGTGAGTTTTCAGTTGCATATTGTCCTGGGGACCATTCAGGCTTGTTCGCATTTGTGTTCCTCACGTGTGCCCCAAAGAATGAGGTGATTTGGTAAAATGCTATGCCCAAGATTACTATCCGAGTGCCGGCGGTGGGGTGGTTCAAATAGCCTCGGCTATCACCTCATTTTGTCCGGTCGTGATGGTCAAGTGGATTAAGGCGTCTTGTACATACCAGTTGCGTGGCATCTGGGAGTATGGGTTCGAGTCACTTCTGGGGTGTGAGTTTTCAGTTGCATATTGTCCTGGGGACCATTCAGGCTTGTTCGCATTTGTGTTCCTCACGTGTGCCCCAAAGAATGAGGTGATTTGGTAAAATGCTATGCCCAAGATTACTATCCGAGTGCCGGCGGTGGGGTGGTTCAAATAGCCTCGGCTATCACCTCATTTTGTCCGGTCGTGATGGTCAAGTGGATTAAGGCGTCTTGTACATACCAGTTGCGTGGCATCTGGGAGTATGGGTTCGAGTCACTTCTGGGGTGTGAGTTTTCAGTTGCATATTGTCCTGGGGACCATTCAGGCTTGTTCGCATTTGTGTTCCTCACGTGTGCCCCAAAGAATGAGGTGATTTGGTAAAATGCTATGCCCAAGATTACTATCCGAGTGCCGGCGGTGGGGTGGTTCAAATAGCCTCGGCTATCACCTCATTTTGTCCGGTCGTGATGGTCAAGTGGATTAAGGCGTCTTGTACATACCAGTTGCGTGGCATCTGGGAGTATGGGTTCGAGTCACTTCTGGGGTGTGAGTTTTCAGTTGCATATTGTCCTGGGGACCATTCAGGCTTGTTCGCATTTGTGTTCCTCACGTGTGCCCCAAAGAATGAGGTGATTTGGTAAAATGCTATGCCCAAGATTACTATCCGAGTGCCGGCGGTGGGGTGGTTCAAATAGCCTCGGCTATCACCTCATTTTGTCCGGTCGTGATGGTCAAGTGGATTAAGGCGTCTTGTACATACCAGTTGCGTGGCATCTGGGAGTATGGGTTCGAGTCACTTCTGGGGTGTGAGTTTTCAGTTGCATATTGTCCTGGGGACCATTCAGGCTTGTTCGCATTTGTGTTCCTCACGTGTGCCCCAAAGAATGAGGTGATTTGGTAAAATGCTATGCCCAAGATTACTATCCGAGTGCCGGCGGTGGGGTGGTTCAAATAGCCTCGGCTATCACCTCATTTTGTCCGGTCGTGATGGTCAAGTGGATTAAGGCGTCTTGTACATACCAGTTGCGTGGCATCTGGGAGTATGGGTTCGAGTCACTTCTGGGGTGTGAGTTTTCAGTTTTATATATATATATATATATATATATATATATATATATATATATATATATATATATATATATATATATATTATAAACATGTAGTATTGAACTCGACTCTCCAGTTGGCTGCTCAGCACTTTGATAGTTTTTGATGGACAATGCTTTACAAATTAAATGATATTTATATGTATGTGTGTGTGAAAATGTTTGTGTGTATGTATGCATGTAAGAGTGTATTTGCGTGTGTTCGTGTGAACGTCAGTGAGGGTGAAGGGTCATTGTGTGTATTTACTATTTGTTCTTGCAGGGTCGAGCTGTTAGCTCCTGGACCCAGGCTTTCTAACCGTCGGTTGTCTAATGTACTGACTCCTGATCTGTTCTCTTCTGTCATATGAACTACACATATTTCTCTCTATAACAAATACACACATACACACCCCAGGAAGCAGTCCGTAGCAGCCGTCTAACTCCCAGGTACCTATTTACTGCTGCTAGGTGAACAGGGGCACCAGGATAAAATAAACTCAGCTCATTTGTTTCTGTCTCGGCTGGATTTCGAACCCGGGCCCTTAGGACTACGACCCCCGACCGCTGTCCAGTCGTAGGTGTGTGTGTGGGTGGGGGGGGGTTAACCTCTCCTGAGACTAAGATCGCTTTTTCTCAATTATATTTTAGACAACTTTTCTCACACTCTTTCATAACTCATAACTTTCGTAACTTTCATCAAATATAACTAATGTAATATGTGACTTGAATTGTGAACTAAACTTGATTCAACACTTCAACATTCTGCTCATTTCAAATGTTCACTATACTTACATACTGAATATGTAGTTTATGTTGATTTATGTGGCTAATTTGGGGTCTCCAATTCCCATTAATAGTTCCATATTCTGTTTTGTAACAATCTATCTGTTTCCGTTTAGTTTATATTCCTCGGTATTTTATACAGCTAGATCATATCTCCTCATTTCTAGTGATATTTCCAATTATTATCTTTATTTCATAAGGTGAGGGATTCACATCGGTCCAGCATAATTCAGTACAATTGCTATATAAGCTGTGTCCATTGTTATGAAGAATTCCTTGTTTTTGACTCAAAAAAATCATATAATTCCCTTTGTCGGGGGACCGGAAACCTGTATTTAGGCACGTATTAAAAGCTTATATTATAAAAAGCTTATAATCTCATAGGTCTGCAAATATTATGTATTTAGTTATTATATATCAACTCGTCTTCCTGTTTAAATAGTCATTTTAGTGTTTTTTTACTATGTGAATCATCGTACAATATATGTACATAAGTACATAAGATATATGTACATAAGTACATATATCTTCTTGAAAGGTTATTTTGAGATGATTTCGGGGCTTAGCGTCCCCTTGGCCCGGTCCTCAACCAGGCCTAGTCCTTTTTGTTTCACGCCTCTCCTCCTGGGGATCGAACCTAGAACTTCAGGACTACGAATCCGAAGCGCTGTCCGCTCAGCTGTCAGGCCCCTGCCAGCCTCTGCACTTGCAAGAGCAACCGTTACATAGTTGTAATAGACAATTAGATAGTAGAGTTTGGTACTATTCACTTTATATAGTCCGAAAAAGAAACATTAAAAAAACAATCTTAAATATTCCTAGTATAGCACATATATGTACTATATTAGGCCTCAGATAGCATGCATTAGGCCTAGGCTGGACTTGTGATCCTGTGGTCCTGGGTTCGATCCCAGGTGCCGGCGAGAAACAATGGGCAGAGTTTCTTTCACCCTATGCCCCTGTTACCTAGCAGTAAAATAGGTACCTGGGTGTTAGTCAGCTGTCACGGGCTGCTTCCTGGGGGTGGAGGCCTGGTCGAGGACCGGGCCGCGGGGACGCTAAAAGCCCCGAAATCATCTCAAGATAACCTCAAGATAGGGAGATTAGGTTAAGTTTTGTTTGCAACATCACTACAAAAACTTTTCCGGTTTGTCCAAATTTAAGTTACTACCGATTTCTACTTTCCAACTGCCTCTTACGTCAATATACGTACTATGGACCTCCTCGTCGTGAGAAGTACTAGCTAAACACGAGGATGGGATGTACATACATCATGTTTTATGTATATATATATACCAAAATAATGAGAGCGAATATACAAGCATACAGACAATACTGAAGGAGCGAGGCTGATGAGAAGCAAGTATACACCTTATGTCTACCTTGAGGTTACCTTGAGGTGTTTCCGGGGCTTAGCATCCCCGCGGCCCGGTCCTCGACCAGGCCTCACTAAATCAAATACATCCCGTTTAAATTCAATAGATATTCTATTTAAAATATAAATAACCAGCTAATAGACAAAAAAAAACAAGAAAGTTCAAGAGAGGAGCAGCAGATCTCTCATCTGGGAACTGAATACCTTCAAGCAGATGCAGATATCCTGCTACGCGGTGCTTGATCCCTTTAGGGAGGCGCCTAAACGCTCTCAAATCCTCTATGAGGATGGTCTACGGCCAAGATGGCGGACAACTGCTGGAGTAGAGCCAGGCAGGTGAGTTTGTTATTAGGTCTCTTGGGGGACGGACTCTCGCAGGCTGTTTCAGTGGTGCTTAATGCAAGGAAATGGAGAGAGAGAGAGAGAGAAGGAGCTCTCTCATTCTCTCTCTTGGGACTTCTTGTATTTGGACCTCTTGTAGTGGGGGCTCTTGTAGTTGGGACCTCTTGTAGTGGAGTAGCTAGTGGAGTGGCTAGTGGAGTGGCTAGTGGAGTGGCTAGTGGAGTGGCTAGTGGAGTGGCTAGTGGAGTGGCTAGTGGCGTGGCTAGTGGAGTGGCTAGTGGCGTGGCTAGTGGCGTGGCTAGTGGCGTGGCTAGTGGAGTGGCTAGTGGAGTGGCTAGTGGAGTGGCTAGTGGAGTGGCTAGTGGAGTGGCTAGTGGCGTGGCTAGTGGAGTGGCTAGTGGAGTGGCTAGTGGCGTGGCTAGTGGCGTGGCTAGTGGAGTGGCTAGTGGCGTGGCTAGTTGCGTGGCTAGTGGCGTGGCTAGTGGAGTGGCTAGTGGCGTGGCTAGTGGCGTGGCTAGTTGCGTGGCTAGTGGCGTGGCTAGTGGAGTGGCTAGTGGAGTGGCTAGTGGAGTGGCTAGTGGAGTGGCTAGTGGAGTGGCTAGAGGCGTGGCTAGTGGAGTGGCTAGTGGAGTGGCTAGTGGTGTGGCTAGTGGAGTGGCTAGTGGCGTGGCTAGTGGCGTGGCTAGAGGCGTGGCTAGTGGAGTGGCTAGTGGAGTGGCTAGTGGAGTGGCTAGTGGCGTGGCTAGAGGCGTGGCTAGTGGAGTGGCTAGTGGCGTGGCTAGTGGAGTGGCTAGTGGCGTGGCTAGTGGAGTGGCTAGAGGCGTGGCTAGTGGAGTGGCTAGTGGAGTGGCTAGTGGAGTGGCTAGTGGAGTGGCTAGTGGAGTGGCTAGTGGCGTGGCTAGTGGCGTGGCTAGTGGCGTGGCTAGAGGCGTGGCTAGTGGAGTGGCTCGTGGAGTGGCTAGTGGAGTGGCTAGTGGAGTGGCTAGTGGAGTGGCTAGTGGAGTGGCTAGTGGCGTGGCTAGAGGCGTGGCTAGTGGAGTGGCTAGTGGAGTGGCTAGTGGAGTGGCTAGTGGCGTGGCTAGAGGCGTGGCTAGTGGAGTGGCTAGTGGCGTGGCTAGTGGAGTGGCTAGTGGAGTGGCTAGTGGAGTGGCTAGTGGAGTGGCTAGTGGCGTGGCTAGTGGCGTGGCTAGAGGCGTGGCTAGAGGCGTGGCTAGTGGCGTGGCTAGTGGCGTGGCTAGTGGCGTGGCTAGAGGCGTGGCTAGTGGAGTGGCTAGTGGAGTGGCTAGTGGAGTGGCTAGTGGAGTGGCTAGTGGAGTGGCTAGTGGAGTGGCTAGTGGCGTGGCTAGTGGCGTGGCTAGTGGAGTGGCTAGTGGCGTGGCTAGTGGAGTGGCTAGTGGCGTGGCTAGTTGCGTGGCTAGTGGCGTGGCTAGTGGAGTGGCTAGTGGAGTGGCTAGTGGAGTGGCTAGTGGCGTGGCTAGAGGCGTGGCTAGTGGAGTGGCTAGTGGCGTGGCTAGTGGAGTGGCTAGTGGCGTGGCTAGTGGAGTGGCTAGTGGCGTGGCTAGTGGAGTGGCTAGTGGCGTGGCTAGTGGCGTGGTTAGAGGCGTGGCTAGTGGAGTGGCTAGTGGCGTGGCTAGTGGAGTGGCTAGTGGCGTGGCTAGTGGCGTGGCTAGTGGCGTGGCTAGTGGCGTGGCTAGAGGCGTGGCTAGTGGCGTGGCTAGTGGCGTGGCTAGTGACGTGGCTAGAGTGGCTAGTGGAGTGGCTAGTGGAGTGGCTAGTGGCGTGGCTAGTGGAGTGGCTAGTGGAGTGGCTAGTGGCGTGGCTAGTGGAGTGGCTAGTGGCGTGGCTAGTGGAGTGGCTAGTGGCGTGGCTAGTGGAGTGGCTAGTGGCGTGGCTAGTGGAGTGGCTAGTGGCGTGGCTAGTGGAGTGGCTAGTGGCGTGGCTAGTGGCGTGGCTAGTTGCGTGGCTAGTGGCGTGGCTAGTGGAGTGGCTAGTGGAGTGGCTAGTGGAGTGGCTAGTGGCGTGGCTAGAGGCGTGGCTAGTGGAGTGGCTAGTGGCGTGGCTAGTGGAGTGGCTAGTGGAGTGGCTAGTGGAGTGGCTAGTGGAGTGGCTAGTGGCGTGGCTAGTGGCGTGGCTAGAGGCGTGGCTAGTGGAGTGGCTAGTGGCGTGGCTAGTGGAGTGGCTAGTGGCGTGGCTAGTGGCGTGGCTAGTGGCGTGGCTAGTGGCGTGGCTAGAGGCGTGGCTAGTGGCGTGGCTAGTGGCGTGGCTAGTGGCGTGGCTAGAGGCGTGGCTAGTGGCGTGGCTAGTGGCGTGGCTAGTGACGTGGCTAGAGTGGCTAGTGGAGTGGCTAGTGGAGTGGCTAGTGGAGTGGCTAGTGGCGTGGCTAGTGGCGTGGCTAGTGGCGTGGCTAGTGGAGTGGCTAGTGGCGTGGCTAGTGGAGTGGCTAGTGGCGTGGCTAGTGGAGTGGCTAGTGGCGTGGCTAGTGGAGTGGCTAGTGGCGTGGCTAGTGGAGTGGCTAGTGGCGTGGCTAGTGGCGTGGCTAGTGGTGAACTATAGGGACTGTTTCACGCCTTTAGTGAGTGTACTCTAGTAAAGATTCCTGCAATAATACAGGTATTGTAACAGTGACTCTTGCAATAATACAGTTGCTGTAGCAGTGACTCCTGCAACAATACAGTTGTTGTAGCAGTGACTCCTGCAACAATACAGTTGCTGTAGCAGTGACTCCTGCAACAATACAGTTGCTGTAACAGTGACTCCTGCAATAATACAGCTGCTGTAACAGTGACTCTTGCAATAATACAGTTGCTGTAGCAGTGACTCCTGCAACAATACAGTTGCTGTAACAGTGACTCCTGCAATAATACAGCTCCTGTAGCAGTGACTCCTGCAATAATACAGCTGCTGTAACAGTGACTCTTGCAATAATACAGTTGCTGTAGCACTGACTCCTGCAATAATACAGCAGTTCCTGTAGTTATGAATTGGGAAAATACACCATTTACTGTATTTGCGACTCCTTTCTTAATACAAAATGTTCATTTAGTAGTGTGATGAACACAACCCAATTCAGACTTCACCAAAATATTACAGACGAGGACTGTAAATGTAGATTTCATTTGAAAGTTGATTACAGTAGACAGCGACAACCTTTATCAATTCAAACCGAATAGCATCTTGGTGTTTCAGAGCACTGTTGTTGTTAGCATTGGGTATGTTCTCCACGACAATTCCGTGTGTATAGTCATTCTTTGTCTTTGGACCCCTCAGTTCCTTCCCCGGCAGGTTCCGGCCAAGTCGGCGTCACGTAATGTCGTCGTCGTGTGACGTAGTGTCGTCGACGTGTGACGTAGTGTCGACGTCACACCGTTTACGTCGTGTGGTGTGACGTCGTGACGTGAGGCGGTGGACCAGGATGTAAGCGTCATTTGTTTGATGTCGAGATATCCGCCAGCATCCGGCCCCGATGTGCGCAGATGACAGATGCGTTGGTGTGATGCGTTGTAAGTGATTCATTTCTGGACTGCGTTCTGTCGGTATGGGCAGCGACAAGGACCTCTGAACCTTGCGTTCTGTTGGTATGGCCTACGAGAAGGACCTCTGAACCTTGCGTTCTGTCGATATGGCTAGCGAGAAGGACCTCTGAACCTTGCGTTCTGTCGATATGGGCAGCGAGAAGGACCTCTGAACCTTGCGTTCTGTCGGTATGGCCTACGAGAAGGACCTCTGGACCTTGCGTTCTGTCGGTATGGCCAGCGAGAAGGACCTCTGGACCTCGCGTTCTGTCGATATGGCCAGCGAGAATACTTGTCATAATGGGACCACCATCGCTATACAATACTTGAGCACCTGCCAACGGATCCAGCAGTTAGTATGGAGTAACGAGGCAGTTCGCTATAGTGGTGCACTACTTTGCCAGTGAAAGCCTCGCAGGTGTCAGTGAATATATCTGCTACATAGCCAGTGAAAGGCTCTTAGTGTTTAGTGAAGGCTTATCTGCTACATAGGCTGTAGTATGTAGTACATACACATATTAATACATATCAAGACAATATTGAAATGAAAGTAGCCGTTAAGGGTCATCTTTGTTTTCTCTGTACTAAAGTGACGTGCGCTGTAACAGTGGGATGCTTACAGTCCTGTAAGTATATGTACTGGTACAGTGGCTCCTGAAGTAGTGTAGTGGCTCCTACAGTAGTGTAGTGGCTCCTACAGTAGTGTAGTGGCTCCTGCAGTAGTGTAGTGGCTCCTGCAGTAGTGTAGTGGCTCCTTGCAGTAGTGTAGGGGCGCCTGCAGTATTGTGTAGTGGCTCCTACAGTAGTGTAGTGGCTCCTACAGTAGTGTAGTGGCTCCTATAGTAGTGTAGTGGCTCCTACAGTAGTGTAGTGGCTCCTGCAGTAGTGTAGTGGCTCCTACAGTAGTGTAGTGGCTCCTACAGTAGTGTAGTGGCTCCTACAGTAGTGTAGTGGCTCCTGCAGGTATTGGAGTGATGGTTCCCATGCGTCCTGAAGACCCCCACTGGTGCCAATAATATTAACGTCTTAAAATAGTGGGAAGGTTAATGATTTTCGGTGACCTAGTTAAGAGCCTGTTGCCGGAGGGTTCAAAAACCTTAGCAAATAGGGAAGATTGAGTTGGGGCAGGAACCTTGTCAAGAGGTACAGGGCGTACTAGGTACAGAGGTACTGGGTACAGAGGTACTGGGTCTGGGATAGTGTCTCATTATATATATATATATATATATATATATATATATATATATATATATATATATATATATATATATATATATATATATATATATATATATGCTGACCTTTTACAAAAAGTTTAAGAGGCGACGTCCCCAATTTACAATAGTAGTCTCTTTCATTTACATAATTACCCAATTACCCTGAGAGACTTTATCCCGTCTCTAATTCCTCCCTCACAAAGGTCGCCTGAGAGGCAGTGGACTCATTAACCACACGGGGCTCATTTAAGAAAGCCTCGCCAACTGCTTTCAAAAGAACAAATAACAGTTGGTTTCTTTCATATCAAATTCAAATGAGTTTTTCCACCTTAACAAATTTTTGTCTACTTTTTTTTTCAAATTCTGCTGTATGACTTATGTTTATTTTTCGAATGTTTATGTGTTTCTTTTTCTATTCAGGAGTGATTAATTTATTTATTTATTTATTTATTTATTTATTTATTTATTTATTTATTTATTTATTTATTTATTGAGAGTGTTGAAACATAGAACATTTCTCGATCCTCAAATACTCTTTGTAAAATGTCCGTCCTTAAAGAAATATTATTAATCCTAATTCATTAAAAAATTTAATTACCTCACACCATCTACACCTATTAGTTAACATCAGAGGGTTCTATTACGAGTCTACCAGGCTCCTTATATCATTTAGGGAGGCTTGAGGCTTCCCCCTTGTATTTTGGGCCATCACAAATACCACAGAGGCTCAGGAACGAGTCTTTGGAAGATAAATGCCTTCCATGGCTAATTGTCGTACATGTCTTATCTTCCCTAGCCCAACTATTTTGACCTGGATGGGTGAGCGATAATGTCTGATTGAGCACCATTCGTTTGGCGTTGTCCTGTCCTTAAATGCCTTCCACTATAAGCTTTTACAATATAATTGATTTACATACTGAAGTGTGGAGCCATTTTTAACTCAACATACCAACGTAAAATATAATGCTTAATAAATGTAAATGAATATTGTCTGGAGGCATAGCTGTCTCCCTCTCTTAGCCTTCAAGCTGCCACTTGAAATTTTTATTCATTTAAAACAATACAAATTTCATGTAAATTAAAAATATTGTGTGACAGCTTCTCCATGTAAACCAGTTATTACAATTATTTTTCGTATATTTAAAGGTATGACGTCTATTGCATTTTCAGGGTTTTATTTTGTAGTGGTTTTGTCTAAATATGTTGTACTTGTATTTTGTATTTTATGATTTCAGTAAAAATTTCACCAGGTTGAGGTGTTTCAGACGAGGAGGTGAAGAAAGTAATCTTTAACAGACAGGTAATAAGAAACTCTCCTTGGCCGGTGTGAAGCAATATATCAACACGAGAGTTACGAGGAAAGTTGGACTATCCTTGGCGAGCTCAACTTAAAGCTTGACTCTTGAACCTTAATCTCAGACCCCTGACCTCTCTTTTTTTTCCTCTTTATCATGTCTAAGACTCTGGCGACTCTTTGCCCTTGTCATCTCACGGTCTCTTGACATTTCTCTGAGACTCTGATATCTCTCTTTTTCCCCTTAGTGTCGTTTCTCCTTCATCTCTGCTATCCTGTAACTGTTCTTTCTTGTCTCCATTGCCGACATTCTGGCCCGCTAAAACGTTATACCCCTCACCTGCATCTCGCTATCCTTCACATTCCTCCATTGCTATCATCTTCTTCGTCATCTTTGTCTTTCCAAATCTCTCACTTTTCTTACACATTCCTTTCTTCTTTTACTTTATATTCCCCTATTTCCCTTCTTTCCTCCCTCCTTTTCTCTCTCCTCCACCTCTTTCTCCACCTTTTTCTCCACCTCTCCCTCCTAACCCTTCCTCACTCACAGCGTCGTCTGTCACTCATAAATCTTCTCACACATGAGAATAATTACCCAATATCTCCTTCTCAAAAGAACCTTTATTAAAACCGTTTAATAACCGCATACAAATGGCTCCAAGCACTATGGCCACTTCCTGGAACAAGGAATAGACCTCATTACCCGAATTCACTTCCAACGAGCACAACATTTCCTAATGGAACATCAAATATTGACTACGGAATCGTGTCTAGAACGTCTTGGAAGTTGGCGGAACTTCTCGAGTTTTAAATAAATCCCCAAAATGCGATTTACGGACACAGAAAATCTCATTTAGAAGTTATTAAACGCGACGAGCGTTACGTTTGATGATTTCTTTCAACGCAAGATTCTTAAAATTCGATTAAATAGTTGTTTGTGTATATTGGATGACGTTGATGAGCGAAATTAGAATGTAATTAGGAGTAGGATGTGAAGGGTAGTGTTAACAGGACATGGGAGTAGCCTGCGTAGCGTTATAGGACATGGGAGTAGCCTGCGTAGTGTTAACAGGACATGGGAGTAGCCTGCGTAGTGTTACAGGACATGGGAGTAGCCTGCGTAGCGTTACAGGACATGGGAGTATAGCCTGCGTAGTGTTACAGGACATGGGAGTAGCCTGCGTAGTGTTAACAGGACATGGGAGTAGCCTGCGTAGTGTTAACAGGACATGGGAGTAGCCTGCGTAGCGTTACAGGACATGGGAGTATAGCCTGCGTAGTGTTACAGGACATGGGAGTAGCCTGCGTAGTGTTAACAGGACATGGGAGTAGCCTGCGTAGTGTTAACAGGACATGGGAGTAGCCTGCGTAGTGTTACAGGACATGGGAGTAGCCTGCGTAGTGTTAACAGGACATGGGAGTAGCCTGCGTAGCGTTACAGGACATGGGAGTAGCCTGCGTAGTGTTAACAGGACATGGGAGTAGCCTACGTAGCGTTACAGGACATGGGAGTATAGCCTGCGTAGTGTT